GAGAGAGAGAGAGAGAGAGAGAGAGAGAGAGAGAGAGAGAGAGAGAGGCAGTACCAGGTACTGCAGGCCAGTTCTTGGGCTGCAGTCCTCTTATTCCTCAAGCTGAGGACCTGACAGGAAGAACGGGTCAGCAATCTTAGCATGTGGTTCTGTGAGGAATGCAGGTATTGGGGTCTCAGACCTATGGAATGAGGAACTGTGATTCTGAAATAGACTGAAGTTGAAAACAGTTCCCTAGAACTTACTTCCTACAGCCTAGTTACCATGGCTTACATCAGCTGGGGCCACATGTGGAGATGCACACCCCTGTGCTTCCTTCAGACTTGTAAAGTATTTAGATTGGATTTGGTATGTCACTTTGTTCCCAAGTTCTACTATAGGATGGACACAAGCCTAGGGAGCTATTACATCTGTAGTTGCCAGAAATTCATCTCAGTCTTCGGTGAAGACATGGAAGAGGTGTGTCCTATGTAACACAAGTTTAACCATGTCCTTGCTCACACCTCCCGTATTCTGGTTACAGTTAAGACAGACCAGAATCCAAAGGGAGCACAGTGGCCATTCCAGTTCCCAATTTGGAAAAATGCCCAGGGTATTTAAACATTCTCTTCAGTTGTGTAGCCAACTCTCAAGAAAGACAGGAAGCCTAAGTTGTCAACCTGAACGTTTCATCTGGTCACCCCAACCTCAAAGGACCAGAAACTACTTCCTGCTATTCCTTTCCTTTCCCACCTAGCTTTTTTTTTTTCTTGAGAGCTGATTCCAAGATATTGAGTCCTCAATGGAAGCATAAGTAGCCCCCATTATACATCAAGAAGCAGCTCACTCAGAACTCAAAGGGTGCTTCCCTCTCCAGAGCTAAGATATTCTAACCTGGAATAGACGAGACGTTAATTGTTTAATGGTTAAGGTTATATTCTGTACTTAATTGTACTAATACGAAGGATGTGCTCTCAAGAAATGTTTTGCTTTTCAAATCTGTTCTATTATATTACAGGAAATAGTGATTATTGTGACCAATGATTTAAAAAAGATAATATGTGGGCTGGAGAGATGGCTCAGTGGTTAAGAGCACTGACTGCTCTTCCAGAGATCATGAGTTCAAATCCCAGCAACCACATGGTGGCTCACAACCATCTGTAATGAGATTGGATGCCCTATTCTGGTGTGTCCGAAGACAGCGACAGTGTACTCATAAATAAAATAAAATAAATAAATAAATCTTTAAAAAAAAAAGATAATATGTTAGGGTTGTAGATAGATGTGGCCTTTGGCACAGCCTTCATGCACAATGGATTTTAAATGAATTAACAGAGCTCTGGGCTCCCACACTCTACCATATGTTTAAGGAATTTTGCCCTTAATCATTTTCCTTCAGCATGGTTGAAACACCTCTCTATCTCTTGTATCTTGAATGGTTTTACAATGGTTCTTTGAATATATGGATAAAGGGGGAAATTAATCCCAAATGTTTTGTTACTTATCAGGTGGAACATTAAATATTGTCTCCTGTTAAGAATGGTATGAGTTTTTATATTCTTCATTATGTAACAATTTGCCATTTGAAAGTCTGAGACGCTGTCAGGATTGATAGTCAAAACCAAGTTCTTCAACCCTTTGATCCTCCAAATTAAATTTATATTCAGGTCCCTGTGATTCTGATACTTGGAGGAAATGTTCATCCAATTCTATTGATAACTCCAGACTTTTCTCATTTTCTGAGGTTGTAAGCCACCTCCATGGAATGAAATTTTAACAGATGAAAGCTGGTTAGGTCTTTTTGTCCTTTCTCCCTCCTCTCCCAATTTAAAAAACATGGAAAAGCTGCCCTGGTGGCACATGCCTTTAATCCTAGAACTTGGGAGGCAGAGACAGATAGATCTCTGAGTTGGAGGCCAGCCTGGTCTACATAATAAATTAATGGACAGCCAAAGCTGCATAGTGGGACTTTGTCTCAAAACAAACCAGACAGTATGGAAATAATCTGTGATTTTTCTTACACAGTTGCTTTTCTTTGTCACTGGAAGTTAGCTCACTGAGACATGCATATGACTTGTGAAGTGTAAAGAGGCAGGCACTTTGCACTAGAATAGCTACGGGGTGTTGTTGCCTTATTTCATGCTGAAGAAACATGGAAATGTATTTAACTTTTTAAAAAACAAAACTCATGGGCCATTGGTGAAGGGAGTGTTATGCATGGGCAGTGACCCCTAAGACACAAGTAAGAAAGAAAAAGGCACCAAAAGTCACTGTACTTTGATGTTTGAAGAATCTAGTTTCTCTCTGGATGATCCTTCTCAAAGTATATCTTGGCAATGATGATGGGATCTCGGTATAATCGATTTATATTTGATATTATGTTTTGATTTCAGCAGAGATTGTACCTCTCATTGGCCTTTGACTTTAGAAAAAGCTCCGACTAGGGAAGACACATAGGAAAGGAAACATCTATGCCCAAGAGAATGACCTAGGATCATTGTCAGCCTTCATGGTTTTTTAAGCTCCTTGGCAGGTCGTACTGTAATATTTCCACAGAACGGTAGTGAATGGCCCTCTGAATAATAAGCAACTTTTCAAGAGCCAAAACACACGCTCTGCAGCATGCTGGGACTGGAATATGGAAATTGTTTTAATTTCTTCTTTTCTCTTATGAGGAAATCACTGCACTTGGTTTGTCAAGACAAGAGAGTTCATTCCCCTGTATTGAAACAGTGATGAATTGAAACATGTTGGAGCAAGTTTTAAAAAAATAAAATCAAAATTAAACTGGTTTCTCTTAAATAGCTTAAAGCTTTCCACAGTACAAAATAAATTAAACATTGTAAAATGAAGTTAATTCAAGTAATCACTCAGTACAGAAGTCTAAGCGTATATATCATCAGTCTTGCAATTCCAGGGTATAATTAAATTCTCAGAAATCTGCTGAATTCCCTCTAATTTGGTTTCTATATATATTTAACAAGACAAGGAGCAAATGTATGTCAATATGTAGCATAACAAAGAGAACTTGGGTGCAGTTTTCTTCTAATTGTGGGGACCCATTTGGACTAGGCTTGAAGTATCTCTAGGTACGTCTCATCTGTAGCACAGTGTCCCCACACTACATTAAAGTTTCCATAACCAATCTGACCAGAGACTGAATTTTTGTTTATTGAAGTAAAATCAGTAAAACCATGCAATTGCCTCCCCAAAGCATCTGACCAGTGCTAATAGGTACTAATTTGGCAGATTCTCAGAATGAGTTTCCAGGTAGAATTAGATACTACCACTGTCTCCAGGAAAGCTCTGGTCCCCTCAGTTAAGTACCTTTAATAGACTGAGTGTCCACAGAATAAAAACACTTTTGTAGTGAAAATGTACCTGTTTTATGAATAAATATTGGGTTTTGTGAATTTAAATAAGTTTGTTGTGCAGTTTGCTTACTTTGCAGGTAGGAGGATCTCACTGTATGCCATAGTTCTAACACACTATGTAGCCCACACAGACCTCAAAGTCTGGGTCTTTTGGCCTCTGCTAGGAGTGGGGGTGCGGGCGGGAGAGGGGGGGGGGAGGGAGAAACAGAGAGAGAGAAAGAAAGAGAGAAACTTGAAAAACAAGTGAATTAAGTTCAGAGAATACATATCCAAAGTACCCTGTTCTGAACATGTTGTTTTTAATTATGCTCTGCTTGTAAGAATGTCTTTTCTCCCAGGAGCATTTCTTGGGTTTTGGAAATCTTGTTAAGTTAGATAAAGGAATTATTTGAACTACTAACCCTTGAGATTTAGGTTTGGAAAAACTAATAAGAAACATTAAGATTAAATTTGACACTTAAGGTCTGGGGCTGTCTTAACAGTATGAGTTTGTTCCCACTGTGCTCCCAACTGAGTTCCAGTAGACCTGGAGGGAGGGAGTGTCTTCACATGGTCTTGATACCTTCCAGAGAACCCTGACATTCCCCAAGTGAACTCATCTACATGTTGTTTGAGCATCTAGTCTTTGTTCAAGATTGATTGTAAATTCTAGGCCACCTCTTTCTCTATATCACCATATATTTTGGACTCTTGGGCCTCTGGTCACTCATAAGTAGATTTCGCTGGTGCCCCTATACCAGTGTTTCCGTGTCAGTTCAGAAATGTAATTGGAGCTGTATGTGAAATGGGAAGAATGACTGAAAATTGGGAAACCCATTTCATAGTGTTTTGGTCATCTTGGTACACTGTGTACAAGAGATACCCTGCTGGGGTTGGGTTGGGGGGGAGATCTAGACTAGAGAGGTGGGAAGATGTAACAGCAGGTACTGCAAGCTGCAAACCTTGGGCCCAGGAGCTACATTGTCATTAATTAATTTTAGGTATGTTTTAGTATAAGCCATTTAACCTTCTGTGTCTTCATCTATCAAAATTATCTAGTAGTTTAAGTATAACCCATCGCCCTCTAAGTACTGAAGTGAGCATACCACACCCGTGTGTTAGTTTCCCCATCTGTTTAGAAGTGCTTCCCTACCGTGGGCACTAGTTGGAATCTCCTGTGTAGCTTGTACTTCAGTCTAACTCCCTGAAGTCAGTTGAGCTTGCATTTTAGTATTTTTAAAGCCCATCAAACAATGATTCTCATGCAATGCCATAGCTAAGAACTACTTTTTCAAAATGGAGTATGTATACTTATGTATATCCTGGATGTTGAAGGAGGCACAGTTGACCCAGAATAGCCCTTTAAAAAGAGGGCTTTCTCAAAATCAGAAATTACATCTACTTTCAGCCAAATGAGTAGGAAGTCTTTAGGGACAAAGTGTCAATCAACAGTAACGCATTTTAATCAAAGAGATGTGTTTTCTTTTCTTCTGAGGCTCCTCCATTCTGCTGCATTAGACTCTACACATCCAAACACATCATTCCCCACATTGAGATACTGCTACCCTCCTTTGGAAGATGAGCTTTCAAAGTGCCTAAATAATTGTCTGGAATTTCTACATAAACCTCTGGGGTTTGCCT